CACACCCCCCTACCACTCCACCGCGTGGCCTCTGCCCTGTGGCCACCACGGGCAGACCCTGTCCTGTCACTGTGGGCCAGGCGCTGTGCTTGCCCTCCTAGAGCTGCATTTGAGGTGAGCCACAGAAACACGCCAGGCTTCACAGGCAGTGTAAAAGAGATGATACAGGAGCTCACCGCTAATCTCACACTGGATTTTGGTACACCCCCCTACCACTCCACCGCGTGGCCTCTGCCCTGTGGCCACCACGGGCAGACCCTGTCCTGTCACTGTGGGCCAGGCGCTGTGCTTGCCCTCCTAGAGCTGCATTTGAGGTGAGCCACAGAAACACGCCAGGCTTCACAGGCAGTGTAAAAGAGATGATACAGGAGCTCACCGCTAATCTCACACTGGATTTTGGTAAACATATCGTCACGGGCCATACTAGGTATAAGAATGTGAGCAATGAGGACCCTAGATATTTAGATTACTATCAGGTGTTCACCAACCTCATCTGGTCTTGATTTGCACCTTTTTTATTTTTTTATGATTTTGAAATTGCCCCTTTTAATGGTAAATTGAATATGTTGACATGCTACTTTTCTTAAGAGTAGTTGTTTTTTATTATGGCTAGACTAATTACCTAGACATTAGTGAACTGTATTCTGTGTAATGGACTATAAGATTAAAGAGCTGGTTTCTGCAGATTGTTTTGAGACCCCGGGTCATGTACGTTGACAGAACATTCTTCACGGTGAGCTTCAGCCTTCACTAAAGACTCACTTGAATCGGGCCTCACTTAAAAACCGTGTAAAGGCTTACGTTTCCTCTTCACCCTCTCTTTCTAAGTGGTCACCAGCACTTTAAACTGTCCTCAATTTTGGAATTCCTGCACTTGTTTTCCATTTCCCAACCCTTCCCCAGGGCAGTCTGCTGTCACCTAGAGATTGGCTTTTCCCGCCTCTTTTCTTGGCCTCCCCAGTCTCTGCTCTACTCGATAACCCAGGTGGTTTTTCTGAAATACAAACTCAGCTCCTCATATCGTTTTCTTCTGTGGGCCATCAGTCGCACTTCTTGGGTCCCTGGAAACAGGTATTTGACACAGTTGGACCATCCGGTCCATCGTCCTGTTCCTAACCTGCGGAGTAGCCAAACCTAACCCCGTTAGAACTTTATCTTGTTTCCTCTGCATTCTGAGCTTTGCAGTGCTTTCTCTCTCTGCCTGGCATATGGCTGCGACATCTGTTTGGTTATTAGATCCCACTCACCCTGCAGGATAAACTGCTTCTTCCAGAACAGCACGACTCTGTCCTCCGACCTTGGCCTGCCTGAGTCAGGGTGGTTGGCCTATCTCACGCTTTCACAGGCTCTGTCTCTCCAGCCACAGCAGTTTCTCCCAGTGCATTATCATTTCCTGTTTGTTGGACTGGAATGTAAACTTCAGGAGATCAGAGGCCAGGCACAATCTGCTCATGCTGTATCTCCACAGATTCCATCTGGATGTCAGGGAATGAATGGGTATCTTTTTTTAAAAAAGAATATTCACTCCTTGTATGAATAGAGGAGGAAAGAAAACACTAACGAGATGCAAATTCACCAATAGCTCAAGATGAATTATGTCATAAATGTAACGTATTTGAAGTGGGACTATAGAACTTTATTTAGGGATAAAGCACTACTGAAATATAAATGAAACACACAGTAGGCCGGTTTCCTTTCCAGAAGTACATGATAAACTACTGCTCAATACTTAATTTTCAAGTTGCATTGCTTGTATGTTTTGATGCTTTTTCAATACTGATATTTTAACTTGAAACTCTCAGAGGAGAGACTATGGGTGTGACCAAAAAAGACAGTGAATGTTTAAATTTAAAAGAAATCGTTATAATAGTAAAAGACAGATTTCCATTAATCCCCTTCAAAACACACCTGCTCACTTCAAATGCACTTCTCTCGTTATCCTTACCTCTCTCGGAGGCCGTTCTGAAGGTCCTCTTTCGTGAGTGTTTCGTTTTGCTGTTGTGGCTGCCTCCGTGTCCTGAGCTGATTCCGAACATTTGCTTTTCATGGTCGTTTGGACTGTGAGGAAGAGCCAGACATCACCCTGGACTCGACATGGCGAATGCGGGGACTGAGGAGAGCTGCGTGCCGCAGCAGGGTGCTGGTGAGCGCCCTCCTTAGAGAGTCCTGAAGGAGCTTCTGGAATCACCTCAGGGAGGGCAAGGATGATGGTGCGAGCAAGGGGGATACTCTGAGAGGGTTAATGGCCATGCGTCTTTTATAACAAGTTTTTAAAAACTTAAATATTCGGCATGTATTTCTGTCACTCATGTTTGACTTTTCAGCTGAGCAGTTCTGAGTCACAGGACTTGTTCAGGAGTTGTCTCTCAGTTGTGTTATTAAGAACTAGTTTTTCATATACAAATATACAATATACACATACATAAATATGTGTATACTCGCACACACATATAATCTTATTTTTTACTTTTCTAGAACTTTTTTTTTGTGTGTGTGTGCTAGGGATCGAATTCAGGACCTTGTGCTTCTGAGGCAGGCAGCGGAACCACTGAGCTCAATCCCTGGTCCACTTTTAAGTTTTCTGAGTACCAGAGAAAGCATGCAGTAGGCAATTATGTAAGAGTCTTTGAATAATAGAAGTAATTAAGTTAACTGCGAAGCGTATACAATTTTTTAAAAGTTTGGTTACTTCATTAGAAAACACTTCTTTTCTCTTATAGAAATTTTATATTCAACAACACAGGGTATAAGTTGTATCTGTAGCTCCAAAAATGTGTTTTTTTCTTCACTTGGATTTTCTCATTTCTTTTATTGGTTGTTTTAAACCATGGGTACTAGCATGTCTTTTCCCTTTGAAAGTCTTTGTTTCCAATATCAAATTCTTGACTGTGCTTAGGTAATCTCTCATGTGTCTAAATTCAATTTTAAAAATCTTACTTTATGCTCAATGTTTTGCTATTTTGAAATTTTTAACAAAAGTAGCTAAAAGCCCTAAGTAGATACAGTATTAAAATATAGCACATATTTTTAGAAGAAACTCTCTAGAACTCTTACTTTTCTCCATATATTACATGGTTTGGAATTGATTTTCTTTAAATCTTTTGTAAGACTATCAGTTTGTGGTCTATTGATAAAAGCAATAATTTTAGAATTATTTCTTTAGTTGACTTAATATTGAAAACATGATTTATTAAAAAGTGAAAAAGAAATGACATTTTTATTTTGATTTCTTTTAATCTGGATGTATTATTTTAAAGACAAGACTATATTTCAGCAAATTTTTTTCTCTTATTTTTGACTTCTTTTTTTCTTAAGTAAGGAATTAACTATGAGATTACATGCTGCTGATCTCTGCTGTACAGTACCCCGTTCCATTGTGACAGATTGTTTCCCAACAGCTGCCCCAAAGTTTCTCCTACCTACATTCACTGTTTCAGGATGGTTTGCCTGTCCCTGCCAAGAGGTGTAACTTCTTTTCCTTGGAATCCAGGTTGGCTGTAGTATTTATTTGATGAATGGAATATGGTAAAAGTGACATTTTGAAACTTTCCAGGCTGCAGTAGAAGCTTTTATGTTGCCTCCTCGTATCCTGGAAGAGTTGCTCATGCAATCTCTGCCGGCTAAGAGCCGCATAGCAAGTCC